ACAAGTTCCATACGTATTTATACTATACACTATTTAAAATAAACGGTCTTGTCACCGATGAGTGCTTTATTGAAATAAAATACTACAACCGACAGAAGCACTCATATCATACCACGCTGTTTTGCATGTTATATTTTATAGCACTCGTTCTTGACACTCATAGATATACCAATCTCAGTCGTCATGTAGGCCACAGATAAACTACTACCTATTTGGCCCGAAATCATATCAATAAGCATTTCTCGTCGTGGAAAGTTTTTATTTTGTTTAATATATAGTTTTCAAAATACGTTCCTTCAACCTGCTGTTTGAAGTATTGGGCACTGGTGGAGAATTTCGGCTCAATTGTACTACGCAACTACATAATTTTTATGTGTCTACTACAAGAATTTGAGTTCACAGACATCCGTGATGATACACTACTACAAGTTACGGCAAGTATATGCGACTTTCACAAATATTTGTGTCTGAATGGATTTTTTACGAGCGGCTTTGAAAACTGTAATTTGGAACAAAGATCCGGTAAATTTCAAACAACTGAAAGAATAACGAAGTTGCCGGTACTATTAAGTGAATATGCCCCGTGTTTTTCAAATGTTATTCAACAACAGTACACCAAATGGCATATTTAACAAGACTCAAAACTTTCCTTTTCCGTAGTGGGTAATATGGAGAAAATAGAAATACTTAGGAAACTAAAATTGAAATAGATAAGCCTACTAGCATACTTACTTTTTCCATACACATTCATTTCTCAGTTTAGTTCTGTATAAATTTATGAACTGCCTGAAAGAATGTTTTCACAATCTTTTGCTTTCCATTCATTGTATGCATAGACACTGTGTCTACTTGCCAAATAAAAGTCAATCAGATTTTGGCGGACAAAAGGCAAAGAAATTTGAGCCGCGCCACTAATGGATTAGAACCCGCTGACCTCTGATGGTCGGTAGCGCTGACCACCGATGGTCGGTGGCTCGGACACAATTAAAAATATATAAAATTATCACGCAAATTTTAGCTCAATTTCTGTTGGTGATGTATTTATATTTCGATGAGAGAAAACACATATTTAATAACTATTGAAATATTTCAAAACCCTTTTGAGTGTGGCGTGAGCCGAGTGATATATGATTCAAAGCTTCGTAAGTTGAACAAATTTAGTTAATAACTAGATTCACGACATCACACGTTACTCGAGAAGATATGCATATAATATTATGGCGGTTTCAAAACAGTGGGACTCCGGGATTAGTACGTTTTCATGGGCATCAAAACAAAGAGCTGATAAAAAATTATGAAGTAGAGAGCTAGATGCTGCTGAGGATAACATTGTCATTAATTTTAATTTTTCAGAGTCGAGAGTCGAAAACGGAGTCAAATCATTATATTATGGAGGTAACACTATTTTAGCCTTCCCGGCCTGGTACTTACTAATGTTTAACGTTTGAGAGGTTGGTGATTAACTTCGCTTTTTACGCAGGCACACTGAGAAATGGATTGAACGATGAACATTATACTGCGGGTTACAATTTCTATGGTTGTTACGCCTGGATTACCACGCCATAAAATTTCTCTTTTCCACTGTACATATCTAGTGGATTCGTCGCACATGCTCTTGTAAAAAACAAGACGCCTGTTTCTTTTTGAAAAAGATAACCCAGACACGGTCTACGATATGCGTATACTGAACAGTCGATTTGTTTCATAACAGTATTACAAATTTGCCAAAATGTTCCTTGGTAATTGATACGAATCATTTGGTAAGTTAAGCTTCGAACCATGTATTTTAGTGTAATAACTCTCGCGTAACCATATTCATAAACATGTCAACTGATGTTTGTCGCTCTCGATAATTTGAACGGTAATTTATGTAAGGAAAGTTTGTTCCAAGAGCTTTCAAATATTGATACATGGATAAAATTATTCACTATCAATGAAAGTTATATTTATACTCATCTTGTAGGCAAGATATCATGAGACGATGCGTGATTGCACGTGTGCAATTAGGAAAAGCGCGGTACAATGTACCAGGCCTGCACATATTCTTGCGAATATAATGTATTTGTGTTCTAGCAAGTATAGTACTAGTATACATGCATATATACTCTGTATTCTGTAATATGTACGATATCAAAATCGCGCTGAATCCATATTATGCAGATAAAGGATTTTCTGAAAATTGGCATGGAGACAAAAAAGATGTCATTTTCCCAGCCTCGTGTTATAAAGTCCTTCAGATATGAAGCTGGCTTAGCAGAAACGGCGAACAATATAGGCAAAACAAACTGTACGCTTACAGACTTTCAATACTTTTAAATCTGATTACGAAACGAGAGAGCGAAGTTTTCGTACTTGGCGTTGGGTTCCTTTTGTTAATTATAGGCAGAAATTCTGTTCCCGCGCCTCCATTATATTTTTTTTTATTTTGTACGTTGGGAAATGTTTTCTTTAAATAGACGCCGATCGGCGACGATGCGGGAGTTTTGCTCATATAACCTTATAAGGTATGGAGGTGAATACCAATTTCAATTTGATCGTCGAGGTCTTTCTAAAATAAAGGGCTTTAGTTTTTGGATGAAATGATTTTGAAAATTCCTTGACAAATTGAGCCAAGAATAAGGCGCTACTAAAATAATGAGACGAACTGTTGAATCAAGTACCAAAGGCATATAAAAAGATAAGGTGTAACAAACGTTATTTGTTTTTCCAGCAAGAGCATAGCCATTTTTACTATAGTAGCATTTTGAATGCGCTTAACACCATTATTATATTATAGGCGGCATTATAAATTTGTTTAACTCCAAGCTGTCGTTCAACAGGGACTCGTGATGAGCAGTAAAAGTGTATATATTAATGACATAGACAAGATTTATGGTCATTTCGCTATGAAACTTCAAAGTTAGCCGATCGCAGATCGATATCTAGTTGTGAGAGGCACTTCAAACTATTTGTACTGGACGCAACAATAGGCTGATATCAGTTACAGAGCAACCCACCGAACAAGTAAGTAATCAAACGAATGGTGTAAGATAATTAAGGGCATTTTGCTTTCGATAACTGGTCTGTACTAGGCTATTTTAGAAGCTGTGACATGGGAAGTTGTGGTTTACGATTACCGGTAGAGTAAACAGGACGCTATACGGATAAATAGAGGAAATAATGAAACTTGTATATTGGTACTCACAGATGGGGTGGATCACATTAAATCTGTAATGGGTCCGCGTGGATCTGTTTCTATGGACGAATTCTTGTGAGCATATGCTATAGAAGCGCAGAAAATATTGGTTTCATGGGCTTTTTAAAATAAATTAGGACCAAGGCCAAAACAAATTTATTTCGTTTTTCGTAATATGAACTCAAGATATCAATGCAGTCAAGGTTCATTGCTCATGTGTCATATGTACCTCGACGTCGCAAAAGAAGTTTCAGTAGTTTATTCAAGATCTTTTTAACATAGGCCTGCATGGCAGCTAAAAACGACGTAGTTCGATTTTCTAAAGAGAAAGAGTTAGGGTTATAGGCTCAAAATCTCGAAGTAAAATCATCGACACCCTGAAACAAGTCGATCATGTTAATAGATAGCTGATAATAAAACCGCTGCAGAAATAACCGTTTTCGAGACTTCTATTAGCCAAACCCTTGTTTTCCAGTATTAGTTCATCCACTTTAGTCGGAGATGAACAAAGAATGACCCATCAAGAATTTCTATTCTTTCACAACAAAATATATATATTCAAAATAATGTGCATCTAACTGCTGAATCCGTTTCTGCGCTATCGACCTCACACTCATTCATAATTTATAGAGGAGATATAGGTGAAAAATGTGAAGAAAACGAATTTTACATGAAAGAAGGTCGTGCAAAATTCGCCTGGAATGTATCGATGTTCTTTAGCATTGGCATTTTGTCCTAAAACATAAAAATGTGATATTTGGCATATTTTGACGACGAAAACGTGTACAATTTTTAAGTGTCTTGATTGATATACGAAAATGTTATATGGAAAATCCGATCACTGTTAACTTGATAACATGAATTTTGAATCATCATCGAAAGCCGCCGGAATTGGCGGACGATTACTATTTCAAAGACTCTTTTTTCTGGGTCGATACATCCTACAGAAAATTCATTTAGATTTTCTAACACGGGCGTCCGATAAATTATGATTCGAGTGTAGAACACGCTTGGCCTAGGTATAGGATGTCTATAAATTTAAGCTTCATCGTGGGCAAATAAGCGCTCGCAATCGAGTGGTATTTATTAACCAAGGAACGAAGAGCAATCGTGGGGTTCAGCATACACAAACGGTTTCTTTTGAGAGGGCTCGAGCAGATTAACGTTGAGGAAAGCGTCGAGTTCTGCCATTCGGCCGCTGTTATAAAACGAACTGAAGCGAAAGGCAACGTGAACTGAGATGACACGTTTCGAGTCAGTTCGCACGGTTATTGGTTGCGAAAGCTACCAACGGGGTAAACTAGAGTTAGTTCGCTACGCTATTTGAGCATACTCCATTATTTCTCTTGACTGTGGTTTTGTGTTTATCAGAAGAGGAATGTTTGAATAAAAGATACGAAGTATATTGGAAACGGAATCGTCAACATGATGAAAAAGATTTTATATATCGCAACGCGAAGAAGTCTGTTTTGGAGTGGTCTTACAATAAATATTAGTATTCTAGCTATTCAACTATTTGAGGAAACAGATAAAGATTCAGCATGAATTGTCGAGTAATATCTTTATTCGAACAGTGTATTGTTATAAATCCTGTCATATTATGAATTTTTTCGTCAATTAAAATTATTCCACGAACGAGTGGTATCATAGATAGTTTTATGACACAAAAAATCGTTAATATAATATCCTGGCGTATTTCGGCCTACAAAACACTAACCTTGCCATTTAGCTTGAAGTCGATTTTAAGTCTTAAGAAGTGAACACGTTTATGTTCTTTTCTATGTAGTTAAACTTGCAAACTATCAAACACCTTTGTTATACACCCGGAGTTATAACTAACCCGCTGCATTGGATGAAATTTCAGATTTTAATATAACTGTACTTTAATGTTTGAGAATCCGTTTGGGAAGGTCGAGTACGTAACATCCACACCAAAATCGTGTTTGTCAAGCCAAGTCGAATCAAAAAATATGGAACAGAAAGGTAAGATAAAAGATTAATACTTGAAAAGTTAAAATTTGGTATAAAGTCAACCTATTCATAAATATACGGTATCATACAAAACACAAACAAATATATATGCCCTAATCTGTGATGTGGTGTCAAGATTTGAATTTCGTGCAGTCGGGAGTCGGAGTTTTATACTTCTAATATTTGGAGCTAGATTCAAATTTTTTTGCAACTCGGATTTGGTAGTCGTTAGTCAATTTTCCCTCGTGCCCTTAATGGTGTAGCTTAGGGGTGGCCAATCTGCTTTCGACTAAAATCTTTAAAATAGCCCGCGATCGGCTGATCGGTAATAAGGTCATAAACAAAAATGTATGAATACTGAATACGCAGATAACCTCACACACGCCTACAAAATTTCCACCGCTGTCAATAAGCATGGCTCTGCGGGGCGCATTCTCATCGAAATTGCCACTAAAATTTGCATTTTTATACTCAATTCAATTTGATTATATAATTGTAAAAACTTTTTCATCCTTAGTTTTAATCAAAACTAACCTGGTACACATGCTATGTTCCGGTGTCCGCCATCTTGGTTAACATACTTCGTAAGCAACGGAATAATTTCGGTATTTCCGAATAATAGTAGTGTCTTACATGTCGTTAAATATCAGTGGTAGCTCATACAAAGCCTAGTTCATGGCGAACGGCGTAAATGAGTGTCAAGCCAAATTATTGTTTTTTGAGAATTAGGAAGTTTTGAGTCATTTTATCGTCATTGAAAGTCTGCGATTCCGACTTTTGGAGTTACAAATCACGTGATAAAGCGTGAACCTTGCAAATTTTCAAGGAGAAAAAATCAACGTGTTTCATGTCCATGAATCGCGGTATTTTCAATGCATTTCTACGTCTGATATGCCAGTTTTTGGAAATATAATAAGGGCTTTGATTAAAATTATATTTCAGAATACCTTATGTTATATTTAGTGTTGAATTTGCGTTGCGCTGTTTGAACAGAAACTAAATGATTTACGTGAACTTCCGCGATTTTTTTTAAACGATATTAATCTTTTATAAGCATGATTGTGTTTTGAAATTGCGATACTTTAAATCATGTTGTCACCTATGAACAATACAACGGAAATTTAGTTCAATGATAGCTAGAATTGCACAGGAAGTTTTGATAATATTATGTGGTTCTCAGCGCCATATGCTATACTGTAGCTAAACCAAACCGTCAAGATTGAAGGAACCCTAAATTCAGACCTATTCAATCGAAGAGAGAAGTGCATTGTGCAACCTATGCTTTCGATTTTTTTTTATGTGGAAGAATTTTCTATTGTCTCAACAGAGGCAGATTACATTCATAAGATGTCGTTGTTCTAATTCCTGCATACGACTCCGACCCGTTTTTGAACGTAAAACGCGACGTTGACATATGCAATATCTGTATACTTGAAACCACCTGGAAGGTTGAATATTAACATTTTGAAAGATGAGGATTTAAAATAAAATAAGGATCAAGTCATTCTCCAAACTAAGTGGTTGAATACTAAAAAAATTTGGTCCGCAAAAACAATTTTCGTCGATGAGATCAACTGTTAAAACACAAATATACGGGTCGCTTCATTTGATAAGCATCATCCCTATCAATTACTGACATCGACGCTTGACATGAAGTAGATTTATTTAAACGTTATCAATACAATAGTATTGTATTTTGCAATTTTCAAGAGGGACCATTCAAATGCAACGATACGAGTTTCGTTCTTTAAAGCGGGTGTCAGATTAATAGCGAACAACCCTCTTGTGAGCTCTTTCGATAAACATATATATATGCTATAGTTCGAAAATATTCAAGTATTCACTGCATATAGCCTACACAGTCAATTTGTGCCGTTGGCAATTGTGAGTGTTAAAAATATATATTTGTATGTTAATCACACCCGACGTCTCCCCGTAACCTGTCCATCTCAATCAGCAACTACATATAAAAGAGTGGCGTTTTCTGGCAATGCGCACCACGTGGATTTTATTTTGAACCGCCGATGTCATGAATGAATGCTTGGTAATTTTCAAGGAAGTTCATCATTATATGGTTGAATGAGCATGGTGCTAAATTTGGATTTCCACTAAATGCTACAATATATCAATCAGAATATCAACCGATGTTACTTTCGAATTATGAGGTATTCCCTTACAATACTCTAACAAGAGCCGTATGGGAATCTTTTCTTTGCAACTTTTGACCCGCGGGGTTCCACTACTCACAATAAACAATGTAATTTTGCTACAATGAAGAGCTATCTAGGTTGAGTTGTCCTAATAAATGACTCGATTCAAAATTGGTAACATACCGTACGATAGAGAGATACTTGACTCGAAGATCGAAACATGACTTTTCACAATCGTTCTTATGTTGCCAATACAGACAAAGTAACGTATGGTTTATATTTTCCTTCAAGTTTTGGGGAAGTACGAGCCTGTTCGGATCTAGCTTGTGTATAAATATTGACAAGTGAATTTAAAAGTCAGCCCAGCAACAAAATTCTATACCTTTTCACTAAACGAAATTTATACACCACTGAAACATATCGTTTTATCGAATGTTTTATTATTCAAAGAGTTGTTTCAGTATGAAATTCAAAGAAGAGCGCTTCATTCGCATTCTTTGGCATACGCAAAAATCAAAAGTGATTTAAATTTTAGAAGTCGCTTACAACAGTTACGATGGAGTCAGTGGAGGTAAAGTTACGTACCAGTCAACGTCGGTATCCTACGGACCATCCAGTTATCAAGCTATGTTCGGTAAAAGCCACAAGTCTGGATATGCAACGTCTGGGTATGCAACGTATGGAAAGCTGAATAGATACGGGTAAGGGATTTCAATAGTCATTTTCCATCAATAAAATGTATGATGAGTTGTAATTTAACAAAACTGACTTTTCTAGCTTTCCGAGAGCAGTGAATATCTACTTTTTTACTCGCAGCGAAGAGATTGCTGGTGTGATGGCGGTTATAAAACCTCATAGCGTCTTTAGGATTTTGGGTCCCTTCTCCTCGGTTTTCTATAAGGAAATATTTTGGTATCACAACATTAAAAGGGAAAAGAGTAACGCCCATCAAAATGTTAAGTCCATAGACTATTAAGATTGGAAAAACTAAAAACTGCCCTGTATCGTAATACTTTTTTATACGACGATTACTCTGACCTATATTCCTAATTGTGAACAAAGCTCATTGTTCACATAGATTCAACGATAATGTGTACTGAAAATGTTGACGAAGGGCGGTAGCTTGCTGTATGTTACCTTATTCACTCAAATGGGTCTGCCGAGTGAGTCATGATTTATGATATTGGGAAAGTATATGGACAAAAACTAAGTCGTGTTAGGTAGATACGAACATGTTTCATCCAAGAAAGTGTAACAATCTTATTTTTAATTACTTACTTCCATGAAAAGATGTGTCCTAATGTATGTTTACGAGCATGCAAACGGTAATGGTGGAAATGCTAAAATAAACTAATGTACAGTCTCTTATATTTTTTGAATTCGGTATATGAATCGTTATCATTGTATGTAGGTCATTAATGTTAATCATTATCGTGCTGAAAGCTCATATACTTTGACATTTCTTAATAATTTGTAGGCGGTTTCCGAAAATAAATCGTACCTATAAACTAAGACATGCCCTTTTGTCAGTATTACAACAGTTCTTTTCGACGTAAATTATCTAGCGACATATATATACGGTGCTAATGGAAGTTGCAAGTGTTAAAAGCGTTTCATTTCCACTCTAACTCAAACACGAAAATTTACTTATATTTTGTCATATACATGTATAATCAAGTAACTGTGAGCGTTGTAACATGAGGAAACATGAAAAAACATTGCGTGCCCGAAAATTGCCAATGTGTGCGAATCTATTTTTAAAAAGAATTTCAAAAAAATAAATTGCAATTTTGAAATCTAAACAATCGCTATCTACTGGTATTAGCCTAATCTTGTTTTTAAGTATGATCACTATCTTCACTATACCACAGCGTCGTGACGAGAGTATTAATTACACTTTTAGAACAAAAGAACGGATAATGGTAACGCCGTATAGTGACAGTGATTCTTTTGACTATTCGTCTCACATTCTTATGCATAGGAGTTACGCGCACGACTGAAATTCATGAAATCATTTTATAGATAGAGTATCAAATATGTAACTTTACAAACAAAATCTATTACAGATATGGGGAAGGCTCCATTCAAGCCACATCTGTAAGTGAAAGCTTCGCCCAACTCCCTGGTATTCTGAGCACACGAAGCGAAGAAAAACAAGAATTGAGCGTCCTTAACAATCGATTTGCTACTTACATCGACAAAGTAAGAAGGTTGGAATCTCAAAACAGAGCCTTGGCGACAAAAATTACGGAGGTTAGTAAGTTTGAAACCAATTTTCACAAGTCGTAAGCTTATACCAACACATATTGTCCTTTGCGAAATAATGCCAGTATTTTTACCTATAAATATTCGTTCCGAAGAAAATCACAAACCCTCAGGGAAAATGAAAGATGCGTACTTCAAACATATATTACTTGCTGAAGTAATGCAAAGAGATACCATTAATAAAGTTGGCAAAATTTATATCTCAATCAACTGATCCCAATTAAAAACTTTAGATCACACTAAACAAAGATATGAAGATTTTTTTCTATTGCCTCTCAGTTTTTGCATATTAAGGTTTAGAGTCGGAGTGTTTTGGGCAAAGTCGTATTTTTGAAACGTCCCAATCGCGGGAAAAAGGTGAAACTTAGTAGATTATCAAACCTAAATTCCGGTGGTCCTTCGGTTCGTCATTCAACTATTCCATAAGTAACTTATGTATATATAACTTTACAATCAAGAGCACAAAATAATAATGTGCTCACAAAGCCACGAGATCATGTTTGTGGTGGGTTATAAACGGAAAACAACGATCCGGTTGATGAAACAGTGTTTGCGAAATTAGATTATAGAATTAAATCTACAGGATTGTGGTCGTCATGGAAATTAAACCTCAAATACTAGAACCGTGATGAAGTAATTTTCCTCCTATATGTGAAAAAATCATAAAATAGATTGCTTCCGAAAGGATTTCGAAGTATTGCAATAAATATCTCATCGTCGCCAATCCATTCATCAAATTTGTGGCCTGCTAAGACAAAGAAAATATTTGAGATTATAAAGCATTCCGAAATTCAATGACTATTCTCACGAAAATGCAAAATCTGAGTATGCAATCACCTCTTCAACCTAATCTTTACTTCCGAAGGGCATGTTCAAACACAGGTTCAGCCAAAGTCAACATGTTTACCAGACGGCGTATTATTCCCGCTTGAATACACATTGAGCGCCGCGCGACTCAAAGGTACCGCTATTAATCATATATCACTGAACATAAAATCGAATCCAACACTAAATGAACAACGCCCATGTAGACTCGATGTCTATGTAAACTAATCACTATGAATTTATTTTGAGCTTTCGAAATCTGATGTATGAACGAGGCTGATCTAAATTACCTAGTTAAAATACTGTAAATACCGAGTAAAATTCATAGATATTTTTAAAATTATAGCTTACACGACACACATATTTTGAAACTTAAATATTAGTACATCCTACCGACTGATTACGTGACATTTTATAAACAGCAGCTCTGATAAATGTTGTCTGTCAATTTATTTAGATTGTGGTTAGTGCGCAGGATTTTTTTCTTTATATATTCACGGAGTAGAGATTTCGCACGTATACTAAATATCAGCGCAGATTGTATATAAGCCGAAAAGATACGAATTCGGCTTTTACAACGTATATATGCTAGTTTTGTATGGGTGATTTCTTGGTTCAAGTTTGGTTTGGGACGAATCATCTATTAAAATTATTCCATGCTCATGTTGCATCAACGCAACGCAGGAACTATTGACTGAGACGGATTGCGCTTAGTCGGGTATGATAATAGATATTTTCATTATATGTTGCACATGCTCTGATTGAGTTAGACATACTACCGTGGCAAGGAGCTCAGAAATCATCTAACACTGAAAATTGCCAGCAGTTTGTTTCCCACTAATTGCAATAATCCGTGCAATGGTCACCATGTTTCACAATATCCTCAAGACTGGAGGTTTACGTGTATTTCAACTATTTTTAGCTCGAATCCACAAGAACAGTAGTCAGTAGATCTGGAGATATATATGATGATGAACTAGCAAGACTCCGACGCGAGATTGAGAAATTAACTCATGACAAGGCTGAAGCCGAAATTCAATTGCACAACTGTGTCATGGAGCTTAAAGATTGTGAAAAGAGGTAATTGGCCCAATGGATATGCCCTAATCTAACTTAAATTGGGGGTTTAGAGTTTCATCCAGCATGTTCAATAATTTTTTTTTCTGTTTTACTCTTCAAGACTCAAGGCCGAGAGCGATGCTAGGTGTAATGCAGAAAAATTGGTCAAATCTCTTAGAAAAGACGTTGACGATGCCACTTTGTCAAGAATCGATTTGGAAAGAAAACTGGAAACTCTTCAAGAAGAACTTGAACTTTTAAAGGCTACAACGTCTGAGGTATAACTTTATTAATGTAAAACGTTAACAACAGAGTATATAAGGCTGTCTCTGTCCACTTACTTATTCTCCAACATCCCATTACGTATTTAGGCAAATGTAGTGTATGACAGCTCTGATCCAACAATGTCATCTGATTCAGAAAATGTGAGCAATGCACAATAAATGAACACGAAATTTCTATTGGAGAAACCATCATACTCAGGGAACATACGCTATTTGTGCTGTGCTAAATTTTCATGAAAACCCGCGAAATCTAGGTTAAAACTGACACTGTTGAAACTCACGAAAATTTTCTTTCAAAAGTATAAAAGTAATGGCTTGTGAGATGTCCTACTCCTAACTATTGGGCGATTGGTCTCAACAAAATGAATTATTTCCGAAAAGCACACTTTCTATTAGTTTACTACGCGACGTTGAGAGTATGCAATATTTTAGGATATGGAAATGATGAAATCACAAGTGACGGTGAAACATGAAGAAGTCTTCGATGCTCCAATTCCGACCGCTGATTTGACTGACTCACTGAGGGATATTCGCATTGCATATGAGCAACTGTCAAAGAGCAATGCGTATGATGTAGAGAAGGTCTACAAGAATACGGTAAACACAATGTGCATACTCATTGTGATTTTTTTCTATATTGAATTGGATATATAAATAGGATTGTTGTAGTTAGTTTTACGTCAATCAAAGAGACTAGCATGTACTATGTCTCAACAATTTTCTAAAAATGCCACAATACAAATGAATGCGATAAACGTATTTGTGTAAAATTTTCAATCTCAAATCCTCGCCTTTATAATATTTGTTCAAATACTTGGTTCAAACGACTAATTTAAGTAACGTGTGCCGTGTAGTGCTTGGAAGAGCATATATATGTGTTTAGGAACGGATTAAAGACTTGCTCACGGTTTTTAATAAAACTTCATTGTTGAGGTTCCTAGTTGAATGGTGGTACTGTAACTAAGACATTCTTGACAAAACGTGACCATATAAAGGAATTGTACGCTAGTTTAATTGTATATGTACTTAATGAAAGATATTTACTGAAAATTATGACGCTTTTGCTAATCATACAGATCGCAGATCTTCAGCAGCAGATAAAGACCAGCAATGCAGCTCTTGGCGATTCAAAGTCTGCTCTGTTGGATACTCGTCGTCAGCTGCAAAGCATTTCTGTGGAAATCGAAGGATTGAGAAGCACGGTGAGCAATAGCTGCTATTGAATAGCATTATTATATATATATCGATTTATAACTTGCTCAGAAAATAAAAACTCATCCCTCCTCTAGACATTTTATATATCTATTTGTATTTTTTGATCACTTAGCGAACCACTATTACAGATTAGACACTCACGGTCGGCGTTTACAAGAAAAAATTGTTTCGATGAAAATTATCTTGAAGTCTATCACTTTCAGAACTTCGCGACTGAACAAAATGAGAATGACTATTGTAGTATTTCATAAAAAAGTTTACATTTTTCTTAAACTAAACAAAGAAAGAAATATATCTCAAATTACAATCGCTATGGAGATATATAGTTTCTCTGCACTCTTTCCCATTCTATTTAATTTGATGCTAATTTACAATGAAATAATGGCATTGTGTTTGGATATTGTTATGTAAGAAGAGATATTTTGAAACAGTTCTATATTTAGATTAGTAATTTAACATAGTTCTTAGAAGTGGTTACGTTTCCCAAAATTTCTCATTTGCAAGACAGAGATTTCATCTCTGCATCCACATTTATCGAATGATGCTATAGTTAGAAGAAAGAGAGTCAATGTCGATTATCTTAAAATAGTTGCACTAGACTAGACTATAGATATTTCAGACTACATCACAACATTATTTTCAACATTGATATATACAGAATTCTTCCTTGGAAGGCCAAGTTTCGGACTTGCAAGATCGCATGGAGAAGGAGGGTGAGCAATCTCAAAGAAGGATTGACGTAAGTATTTAGGGTAAATGTTCTCGAAATGATTATAACAATGTTCAAATTCTTACTCCTTGGTTTAATCAAATGTAATAGTGATTAAATAGTTGACAATGGTTCAGTAATAAAATATCTGTATGACTCTTTATGAAACATGGCAGTGTTCTTGGAAACATTTCGAGGATTGATAATTATTTAAATTTTTATGTATGATATTCTAATTCTCCCATCTCGATTTCCATACAATCAAGTAAGGATATTAATATATTGAAATTTCCTGATCCATTAACAACTATTAAATCACATCTTGATTGTTATTTTTGTTGCAATGTAATCGAAGCAAATAACAATTATTACGTATCATCGCTTTCGCACTTCTTTATACACACCTCATTATAAAAATAAAGGAACTGGAGGGAGAATTACAAAAATCCAGGGATGATATGGCACGCCATCTTGCTGATTACAACAAGTTGATGAACATCAAACTTTCCTTGGATCTCGAGATTTCTACATACAGAAAGCTGCTGGAAGGAGAAGAAGTGAGGTAATACAGACATCACACATATTGTCATTGGGGGCTGAAGTTGGGAGTTGAAGGGGTCGTTATGAAGTATGGTTAGGAGCGAAAGCTGTGTCAAGTAGCGTGAGACAACAATTTACTTTGTGATTGTTAGTGACAATCCGTGTATAACATCCTGCTCGTAAAATTTTATAGTGATGACAAAATATCCTCCACTTATACCTCCCAATCCATGCTATATAGCTCCTCCCACCTTCACTTCACACTATTTATGAGGTACGGAATTTTATCAAAATATCATTTTCATGTAACATAGCATGCTGCACCATCAGCAGCGTTGGGCGAAGTAGTTTTAGTTTACATTTGATAGACGAAACAGATATGTTCATTGTAATTTTGCGAAATGAAGCATTTTGTGCTGTTCATTTTCAATAGAAGTAATCAAGCATATTCATTTATTTTAGGATCAGTAAGAATTCTAGTAGAGATGCAAGTGGATATGACATCGAGAAGAGTATTACAGGTAAATTATATATTTACATATCGAATAAAGCTATGCGCAATTTGTAGATGTAGATGGTCAGCGCGCGCAAACTTCTGCATGGAGAAAATTACGAGGTTGTCACTAATCATATAAGTTGTATTTATCTTACCAAAGAATATGCCCAAATATGTATGTGCTCCAGCGTCAGAGATTTGCGCAATAGTCGACTAATGTGAATACATAGTGTCTTTGCGATTCCCAAGACTGGCATTTAACTAGAGCTTGCTGAACCTATCTAGCTGCATGCCACAAGTATCCAGAAGATGTCGGTAAAGAACACGTAAAATTACAGGTAAGCGGCGTGGCATTTCATCAGCTGACAGTGACAAAAATCACGATGCATCATCGTATCACGAAGATGATATTATAAATCTCATGATAGACGGAGATGACGTAGAAGCCCTAGAAGAATGCAGCCAAAATATTGCTTCAAATGACGCGAAGAGGGATAACTCGTCATCTGATAGCCATTCCGAAGAGGGTGATCCAGCATGAAACACAAAACATTTTTTAGCACACCATTGAATTTATCTGGAACGAACAACCAATATTCACTTTGATTGTTTCCAGCAGTGGATAGTGCCTCTGCAATATGAAGCTTGCTTGCAATATTTAAAAAGAATCATATCTTTATGTAATTTTTTCCAAAGATTCGTGGTTAAACTTACACTTGTACTTGATGCATGTTTCATTCAATGATTCTGGATTACGACAACGAATGCGTAATTTCAAAAATACTGGCTCCCACTGAGGCAGGTAGCAAAATCGTCTGTATCAACCGTATTAGATCATGACTACCATGTATACTGGTATATTAAATTACTTTAGTCATATATATTAGACGTAGCATTAATTGTAGCTTCCAAATTTATGAAATCTCATGGTATTCTATGCACTGCGATAATTACAGTGTTCACTGACGTTGGTTATCATATGTACTTTTTCGAAAGATATGCATCCGTGTTGAACTTATTATCTATCATTCGTGACAGACAGCATCAAGTACATAGAACATACAATGAAGATTTACATTCATAGACAACAACATCGATTTTTGTACAAGATATTAGAGAAACAAATTGTTCAAAATTTCACTGCCATTAGTTAATAGATATATTTACTTGATTTTACTGGCGATGATTTCAGAAATATACTGCAAAATTTATCTTCCTGTTTTTACCTAAGCCAGAAATCCTATCTTTGCGGAAATTTTTTTATTAGTTACATACTAGTCTTACGGATATCACTTAATTAATAAATCGAAACAGCTTAGTATAGCAATTTTGTATGGTAACATGCTCCGTTATTTTTTCCTGAGGGTAGTTCATCAGTATGTTGCGATCGCAGAACACGCGATGGCGATCTCGAGCTCTTTTTCAAGAAAATTGCGTTTTTCAAGAATATTGCGTAGATATGACGAATTCTAATTCATGGTATATATTCATAATTATTCGATTATTGTCTCAAACACGACAAGCTGCAGGCGTCTGGTCTCATTCTAGCATGTCCCAGAATGAAGAAGAAATACCGGTCTTATTATCTATATCACCTGGCAAAATATTGTGTTTTCAATTTGAATTTATTTTCCAGTACAATCCGTGTCTGTATCGTCAACCAAGTCAATTGAGAGCCAACCAAGGATTCTGGTGAGAGAAGAAGTTACCACGAGATCCGGTTCAAGCTCGTCCTCGTCGTCTTCAGATTCCGACTAGATATTTTTCTCCAGTCTCGTTCCACAAATAGGATTTATAGCTATTTAGATTAAAAGCATACAAAAATGATAATTTTGCCTAATTCTTTGGTAGTGCTGTGAATGTTTCGTTTAAAAACATAAAATCTTTTTTGAGCCGAACTTTGCCAGCAAACATATAATATTATTTAAAACATTCCTCGCAAATTTGCAAACAAATTATTCTAAGAATTTTATTCACCTGATTGCGTGTTAAAAAATATTCGATTTGATAGACATATTTGAAACTTTTTAAAAATTTCAATCAATTATTTAGCGAACTTAAGTGCTTACAGGTACCGATAACGTTACTGAATCCACAGCAATGTTGTGTTTAATTATCTGAAACATTGAAGTTACATGGCGATCGCTTGTTTGTGCATCAACATTTATGACACACGCTTCTGCAAATATATTCCTCAGGCTGAAAAATGACTGTCTATATAAATTTCCTGGTACATGTGAGCGAAAACATAAAATCAGGGTACTCCTTACCTATTCTCATCAGATTATTTGGTCTATATTAACGCTTGGTTTGAAAAACATTGTGCCCATAATTTCCATACTCGTGTAAGTATTTCCTAACTCGTTTTTGTTCGGTTTTCGAAATCCGCTACTACCTGTAAACGCTTCATTTCCTTGTAGTTTTTGCTTTTGCATATATTGGACACTAATCACGAACTTGCACAATATAATAATCGAATACACACATTTCATATTTATGTTTCTGTCAAACCACAAGGCGAGAGTGGGTATAAAGATGGTTACAAATCACAATGGCATAGGATATTTTGGGTGAACGCTGGATAGTCTTCAAAGGATTCTTTGTGGAGAGGATTAGCCATCAAATAGACCGGGAATATATTTTATCTCTATAAATAAAAATACTTTTAAACTTGACAAATCCTCAATGAATGGAATATTTGTTGCAAGATTAAAATTATTCTATATCTATTTGAATATGGTTCTGTCTTTATTGGTGGTTTTTACAGTTTACCTAAAAGCAAATCTATACAAACAGTCACATACGTGTTAAGCCTCCGTGGTTAATGGTGCCGAAGTTGCTTTCATGTATCATTGGCAAGTGAAAACTTTTGTAAAGTGTTTACAAACACAATGTGGGAACTGGCAAAGCATGGATATTTCCTTCAATTTTAATATAACAGTGGCCTTCTCGAGTGTGAATTTATTATTTTCTAAAATGATCTTAACTTATTGCCCCAGTAGTTTGTATGCATGTTCACAGAAATTGAAAAATTCATTAAATTGGGCCTACCGGTACTACTATTTACATAAAACCCAGTTAATAACTAGACAATAAGGCTGTTATTTTTATAAATATCATTTACCAACTGCAGTCGTAATACGGTTGTAAATCGCGGCTGTTCTACAAATTACTTTTCAGTTGATTACTATTCATAACCTTTCTATGTTATAGGCGATATTGTATGCTGATATACTTAGGCGAATGATACTATTGAAGATGTTGGTAATAGGGTTGTAGCAAGTGTCATTTGCTCTGTTTGAGACATGATTTTGATGAAATTTATGTGACGTCGGTGAAAAAGGTGTTCTACAAAACGTGTCAGTCATAATAAATAATGCAGACGAAACAATATCAAAGTGACGCAAGCACAATAGTCATACGCGTCAGTCCACATGTGCATGCTCACGCATTTGAGGGGACATGTGGTCATTAACGTCATAAATCGCGCTTAAGCCGATTCTTAAAATCGTCAGCAAAGAGGAAAAATCTTTCTTTACCCTGCTTTGAGCTTTTCACCACTTTGATGTAGCGTTTGACTAATTGTGTGTTGATATACTTCGTAAAAGTTCAACTTTCTGATACATTTTGCAAAACAAAGTGCATTTTTTACAATACCTGTAATATTAAGATAATGTTTGCGCAAGTTAGAAATTTACCTAGCTTCATGATCCAAATTTAGAAAACATAACTACTATAATGAGAACTTAAAATTATCAAGTTTTGTATCTGCAAATATAGCAGAGTAATTTATCAAAAATATATCTTATACACATTGAAAATTAAACCAGTAATGAAAGTAAATACAGATCGAGCGATAAACTTATCGACAAAACAATTTGATTGTGATCAGAATAAAAAAAAAACGATAAAAGCGTTATACCAGCCTGCGGGAATAACTTGTCTGATCGTGACAAAACAAAAGCAATTCTAAACAGGGAGTATTTTCAAGAACGCATCTCATAAAAGTAAACAAAACATTGCCAGGGGGGCCTAAATTTTGATTGCAAAAACGATTAGATGAAATTTGAATCGCAAAGGAGTCTCGCTATTAAAACATTATAAATTGTAGAATCATGATAGCAAGGGATGGTCGATAATAAAGAAAAACACAGCCGAAACCCTTTCCTCTCAAATGTTCAGAGATCGAGATGTCCATCTAGAACAGTGTTTCCCAAACTTTTTTTTGCCAGCGCCCCCTTGGACGACTTTTTAACTAACAAACGCCCCCCCGACAAAAATGTTGAAGCAACTCTATTGTCCATTTATCATTAGTATATTGTGAAGGTTGAGCCTAGGGAAATACCACCAGCTTGATAATATCTGGCTTCTTTTCAGTCAAAAACAGTCTTGAGCCGCGTCTGACACTGCCGAGAGAATCTCTCGATATGTGAAAGTGCAGACATTGCACCAAATACACACTCTATCCAGAATAAGCTGGTAAGAGCAATAACAAAAATTTTGACCCAAGCTAACACGTGAAGATATTTTAATTTTATTCTGTTGCCAAAAAGATGGAACACTGAAAAACTGAACATGGGTTTGAAAGTATAGACCCAATGATAGTGGTGCATTTTCTCTTCTGGACATTCAGGGTTATCCAGAAAATGAAAACCAAAAATTATCTCTAAAAAACTTTTTTATTGTTATTTGCACTTGAGCTTCTGTATGCGTATGATTATACCAAGAAGTTTTGCAAAATTTTCAACCACTCAGTTTTCTGCTGAAGCGCACCTTCTGTTGTCAGGACATGGAAATGAAAGATTTCAAACGGTGAATACAGAACATTACGCGTTTGTGCCGAGAAAAATCGGGACATAACTTGAGGGATTGATAGGAGTGACCAGCAATGGTTCCAGCATGACAGGGCGACCCGCAATACATCAAATCAGACGCTTGCTTCCCTGAGAGAAAAGTCAGCAATGACATCCAGTGGGCACCTTAAATATCGGACTGAAACCTCTCAGATTTTGATATTTAGGGTGATTGAAGGACAATTTGTATCAAGACAATCCTCAAACGATTGGTGAACACAAGGCTGCAATTGCATAAATAAAATAAAGAAATACTCAAAAAAGAGTGATTGACAATGTTGCAAAAATAATGCAATTCTTTCTTCAATGTCGAGGAGAGCATTTGGAACATATTCTAGGAACAACATAATTTTTGTGCAAAACGTCCTAGATTTTCCGACACTTTTGGGTACAAACATACGCAAACAGAAGTCAAGTGTGGACAAAATTAAATAATTCACTCCATTTTCGTAGAAGTACCGGGTAATTGGAAATTGATGATTCCGTTTTTCGGGGACGACGCTGTATAATACTGTTTTTAATATACATAAGTTAAATATGCTGCTTATGTCACTGTATTCGATAGTTTGCCGCAACACAAATAATGTACTTACGTAACACAAATGATAAACAAACACTAAACAATGTCAAACACTTTTATAACATACGGGTGTTGTACTTATACTTATCAAAGCACCATAGAACCCGATAGTGAAATAAAACGGTTATTCAATACAGTACAACAAAACGTAGAATGCATGGTGAAGGGAGCATATGCCGTATGCGCTAGACTAGAAATTTTATGAAACAATACGGGTTGAAGAAGTCATAATACCTATTCCATGTTAAGCGAGAAATTTCCAACACCGAAAGCACAAACAAACTCTAGAGTTTTAACCAAAGCATAGAGGAGTAAATGACATAAAATATCTCACTTCTTGTGAGTTCCCGTATTGATGTCAGCGCCCCCACTTTGGGATTTGGGAAGAAAAATGATTCTCAAGGGAGGGAAATTGAACGGTTCATTGCATATAAAATGGCAAAATTAAGAAACATGATCAAAAATGGAAAATTTTAAGATGTATGCACAATAATTGATTATTTTATATGATTGGTGATTGATTACGTGGTAGTCTTTGTAGATATACCCGATCAACTGTGTTTTAAATATTAATAAATATACAAGAAAAATAAATGATTCTTTGGAATTTTTCTAGATTCACGCTGGCCTCGTCAAAGCCTGTTGTTTTACCCAAAGCTATTCTGGTTTTGAAATAAATTACATTACCATGCGAACTCTCCGCTGATCTATTTTGGCGAACTCGTGCTTGCGGAACTGAACTTCGAAAAGCACGTTTGTGTACGAGTATTTATTTCCGTGCGTTGTCCTTCGGTATAATATGTATGTTTATCGCTTACTTGGATTCATACTTAGCCTCGATTCTAACTCCACGAAAAAAAGAATTGTTATTACTTGAAACATAGGCATTTGAACCGATAATAGTCATAAAACCCAAATGACACCCCAAAAATTCTTCTTTATGCGAAAATTACAGACCTCATGTATATTTTATGGCGCGAATGTGGCCCACATGAAAAAAGTAATCATATCTGAAATTTGTGATTGACGTTTAAAGTATTTTACAGTGAATGGCAATAAAACGAATCATGAGGTAGTTTCGGTGCGTACTCTTTGCCGAAATACAAAGTTACTGACGTTGTTGCCATTTTTATGGTATGAATCCGGACCACATGAAAAAAAAAATACATCAATGCTGAAATTCGTACTAGGCATTTTAAAGATTTTGAGGTGAATGATAATAATAAAAAGTTGCAGTGGGTGGCGTAGTCTTTGTCGTAAAACTACAATGAAATGAGTCTATATTGTCTGTGTCAACAAAATTATGATTTGGACGAATTCATCATTATGTGTGTGTTCCACAGATCATAAACCATGATTAAAGTTTTTAAATACTCGAGATGTTTGTTTGTTTTTTGAAACTTTGCTTTGATGATCGCTAAACCTGATATTACTAAAAAGTATTGTAATAAAAAATTCTAATGCTCGAAACTAAAAATTATATATAATTTATTATATTTACTTTAATGAATATAAAACTGTGTACTTGCTTTTCATGTCACATAGGGGCTGTGGAATCGCATTGTTAGAATATGATTCCTAGGATTTTAGTTGAATCACAAAAAAAAACTGTTGTGTAATATCTGCCCTAAAGTTATTTTTCACATAAAAATGTTTTTACTCTCCTCGCAAGTATACTTCGTGCAGATTCACTATCGTATTTCCAAATATCAATCTACGACGAGGTAACTGTTGGGTCCAGTGTGGTTTAAAGATATACATTATTTATTTTGTTAAGGCCAATATTAGTTAAGATAACATTCCATAAAAAATGCATTAACATGACATCCCTGCTAATCACAATATAATACAAAAACAATTGAGATACATATTTCTCTTTTACTCATGTCGTGATTTTTCAGATAAGCTTATAAACATCAACATCATCCATACATTTCCACGAAATCACAGAAAACAATATGCAATTAAGCAATAATTGAGAGTAATTGCTAAAATAATAAGACTTAAAGCACGCGTTGGCTCATTCTTTGGTGTTGTTGTTGAGACAAGAAATCTCTTTTTTCCATAACTATTAGCTCCTTCTGCAGTTTAAATTTAAAAATGTGACATATACAAAGCGATTACTTTTATTAATTCCTCAAATGTCTCTTGGACTGAGGTCGTCGTGTTAATTAAACCGAATTTTTCAGGCTCTGAGAATAAGTTGTCCTGCTGATTTTCCACTGAAAAAGGGATCACCGGCTCAGTGAATGGTGGCACATGGCTATAACCTTTGTGTACATTGTTCTCCATGCAAACTATATGGTGCAAAATACCCACGAACGCTGAATTCGCGTATAAGTATAATAAATGATAAACGTGAATAGTCCATGAGCTGTATTAGCATAGAATATAGATGTTCTCGAGAAAACATATGGCAAATGTGATTTACTTTGTCAAGAAACTGTTAGTCTGCAACAAGTTTTATCAACATCTCTTTTTCGGGCGGAATCCCGATATACCCTCTGAGAAAACAATTTGTTAATTTTGGAACTATACGAACTAAACTACTAAAGGATCAAAATGATGAAATTCAACCGGAAAGAAAACATCAAGTATGCTATATTCTTAGATTCCGCATGTTACATGTATGTATAAATAACAATGTGTCTAGTTATAATGAACATAATCCGTAGTTTCAGTTTTGTAAATAATGAATAATATGTTTCACAATGTGAAATACACAAACTGGATTATTAAGTCATTTGAAATCAAACAATGACGTGTATTTACATCGCGATTATGGCCACATTGCGTGTCACAAGTCGAGGTTATTTCGTGACAAAACCGAAGCATGGCATTTATAATGTGGTCGATACATGATAATTTCAAGGACGTGAGACTGATTCCACAACGCAATGTACACACAAAATTATACAATGAGTATGCCATATTTCCACAGTAAACAGTCACTGTGGGTAATTTATTATACATTTTTTTTATCCAAATAAAGGCCATTATGTTTTGTCAACGCCTGTGATGAATGTGGTCAGGATTTTTACCTTTGACCTACTGAGGTACGAAGCAAAGGGAAATCTTTTTCAAGACAATTATATATTTAGCTCAAAGTTCAGAGCAGAATCAAAAGCTTCAACTCAAAAAAAAATACAGCCCCGAAATAAATTCAACAAATATAGCATTGCAAATGAATTTCTCTCGGTTTTGATTCCCTCCTAAACGTTATGCGCAAAAATTTCATATGCGCTTTTCAGATCAGTTTTCATACTTTACTTACAATACTGTTTTATCTTAGTATTTGGTTGGTCTTTTTCTTGATAGTGGTAACTTAGTTATCACTAAGATATGAATAATTATATTAATATGATCACTGAGATGTAAAAAACTGAAGTAACAAATATCGACTGGTAAAAAGTTTTATTTATACACGTATACATTCTACAATACTGGCAATTCCCAAACAAGTTCCTTAATAAAAACAGACGGAAAGATGTGCTTCAAGGCCGAGTGGGTATTCATCATTTTTCTTTGTCAGTGTATCTTTATTCACATTTTCTGTTTGTAGAATGTATTTGTGGCAATAAAGTGTTACTTCATAATAGCTTTGAAAGAAATACACAAGAGCAAAAGCAAAAAGAGCTAAACCTCATATGGCAGGTGTCGGCAACCTCGTTTAATGAGCGTATACTTTAATTATAATTAGACAACAATGGCGCCGAAAATATTCAAATGAAATTAAATCTATATTCTTTTATCCGAGAGATGTATCACTGGTTGATATTTATTATAAAAATTATCACCCGTTCGGTTTTCAACTTTCTAAAAATATGTGCTGCCCGCCAATGACCCTAGACAACAATGACCCTAGATTATAATTAGACAACAATTAATTATAATTGGGAAACAAAACGCAGAAAAGTTGATGCTAAGTGCAAAAGGTTCAATGGTTGATATTTATTATAAAAAGTATCACCCGTTCGGTTTTCAACTTGTTTGTCCAGCCAATGACTTGCAACTTTTAATTTTGGCCCGCGATCGACAAAAGGTTGCCAACCTCTGCCATATGGTGTATGGTGACAGCACATTTTCACCCGTATATTTTCACTCGTGAACTGCACCCAGGACATTTGCACCCACAGATGTTAGCACCCGAATATAATGTCCTGGGTGCAACTTACGGGTGCAAATGTACGTGGATGCGAAGATGACGGAACAATGTTGTAGAAACGTATATCTAGATTCTTTTGAACATACCATTGAACAGCTCCTACGAATCGCAACGCGATTAAAGTGGATGAAAAATGTGAATATAAAATATAGGTTTACAGTGAATTCCTTTACACTCAAGCACGAAGACAAAAATGGTCGTGCAATTTTTGAATAAGTTGCTTGAAAGTGGATACTGAATAAACCACGAACTCCACAGTCATTTATACGTATTCCAATAAGCTTGCAATTAGAAATTTGACGAAAGCTTTATTTGTTTATCACGAATTCACAGAATTTAAACGGAGTCAAGTTTTAATCGGTTCAATAAACACAGTGGAAGATTTATCGATAACAACTTATTTTATGAGAAATCTTGGAAAGTAATGATTATTTCAGTCCAGTAGATACCTTATTCACAAGCCATATGAATTTTTTTTCGTACGAAGCAATATTTTTTAAAATAATATTCCTCTGACAAACACATGATGAAAAAGTCGTAAACAATAAGAATATATAGAATCAGACAAGCGGTTGTGAGCAAAACAAATTTTAATGCATTTCTTTTTATTTAAATTCAATTGCGTGCATACCAATGATACAGTAAACAAAACAACAAACAATATGACCACGCGAGCACGATAATCTAAAGCACTTTCCACGTTCTCTAAAAACAAACCACAAAATTTCAATCACAATAATCATCATTCAACATCGTGTACTTGCTACATAGATAAATAGTTGGTACAGTAATCATAGCCTAGATCTCAACTTGAAACGAGGAAGAAGTAACCAGCAATAACACCAAAAAGTACAATATTAACACATTTTACTATATTCTTGCATGTTCAAATTTAAAAACGAATCATATAATAATATTAAAATGTTTCATTTTTAAATACATGTACATTTTCATCCATACTGATGCAAACGCATCTGGGTTTAGTTTATAAATTGAATTGGACAAAATATCTGAATTCACAACATCGTCAAAGAATTTAATATCTAAGTTCAAATCCATCGTGTACAGTGTACACAGTAACAATTGAGATGTAAAGAGTGTAAAAATAATTAGGTTTAACAAAAACGAAAAACAAAACTGTGATTCCGAGAAACATATTATGCGCACTTATTGAACAATGGGAGTTGAGTTTTTATGGAGGCTACTTTCCGCATTTGAACCAGACCTTTATTTATCAAAAACTATCATCAAATAGAAAGCCGAAATCTATTACAAATTTAATAGAAAGTGAGATTCTCTCCTGTGGCCTCGGACCCCGTTGTAAACAATTTGGCGGTGCTGTAAAAATACCAAGAGAACTACCCCCACATGTCGTTTATTATGATGTTTTTAGTATTGCGGATGATATCAGACACGTTATTATTAAATTTTTCTTCAATAACTGAAAAAAAAAAAGTTAAATATTAATCGCGACTTCGCTGTAAAAGTTCACGAGATTGAAAAAGGTCATTGACACTAAAACCTACCGAAATGGTGAAATAATGGGTAATGGAATAAAAGATCTGTCAACTAAAATTATGTTATCAATCACAGTGAGTGCGTATGTTCACGTAACCATGTGAAATAGACTTTGATCGTAAGTACCTAAAATAAGTCATATAGAGAACAATAAAATTTTGCAATGATTCCACATTTTAGAATCGGGGTGCTCGTGATACCAAATAATGTTAAACAAAGTAATGACGCTCATTCATTCACATGCAAACCATTGTTAAATATTTAACGATGAACGCGAACGAGAAGACGCGGAAAATATTATGAAACTATAATCAAAACATAAAATGTAATTTAACGTATATACAAATTGCGAGATGCATAACATTAAAAGTATGGAAGGGCGACCGCGGATGAGAGGGACAAATGAGCTAATCTCTCACGGAATATAATAGAAATATTAATGCTCTTAGTTGGAAATCATCAACAAACAGATACTACAATTATGAGAAATGACGAAGCGGTAAGAATTCCACGCAAAAAAACATCCTTGAAATATCAAGAAAACGATTACTTAGTTCCGGGCTATATATTTATAAATACTATGACGCCATATGTATTGAGATGCGTAGAACTAGTTGGAACATATTACGTTTTCTAAAACAGTATGTCAGTTATTCAAGGGAAAGAAGGAAAATATTCGGTGTCAATTTTTACGTTTTAACTACAAAGGGCGTCAACAAAAATTACGATTCATTTCGGAAGCAGGAATGTGTACACTGCACATTGTGTAAAGATCATGGATACGCAAACAAAAAGAAAGAATTGATATTTAAGATAATTTCGACGACATTCCAAATGCGCGAAGCTAGGATATATTTACTTCTTCTATTTGTTCCTTACCCATTCTTCCAGCCACGCAAAGGATAGTAAATTGTATCATGGGGGGCAAAAATAGAAATGCCATCAAGCTGCCGCCCAGATTCGCGCCGAAAAAAGAAAAGAACTCGCACGCAACGTTGTCACACGTAAACTGGTCTTTAAATATTCTGTCCATCGAAATATAAAAATTTCTTATGTTTTCAGGTAGCGTTTTCTGATGTCGTTCGTTGATAGGACGGCAAAGAGAAAAACCTTACATATTAAAAGGCATGGGCTGGTTCTAAAAACAAAGAAATTCAATTCATTCATATTTGTTTAAACTCAAAAATAACGTTATGTATTAAACAAAATGTGGTTATTGTTTCTATAGTAGAAGTGAGTAATATCTCATACTTGAATGAGATTCAAAATGTGAACAACCGCGCATTATTTGAGATTGATTAGGTTAACATTAATAATTTAAACCGAAAAACAGTGATCAATTAACAATATATAAACGTACATATTTACACCATGCCCAAATGGGCACAACCACGTTATTCAATACTATTATCGGCGCTTAGTCTGTACTGTATAGCATCAATAGTCTTGAAAGCAAAAGTTACAAATCGGACAATCTTAGACTTTTTTGCAAATGTATGAAAACCGAAAAAGCTTGGATAAAATTTTCAGTTTTCGGTCTAGTCTTGCATTAAGAACGTGTGAAAACTAAAAACCTAGAAAGCTTTGATAAAATAAAAAATTCAGTTTTAGGTTTAGTGTCAAACTAAGGGTGTGCCAATACTTTACGGTTCAGTGGAAACTGACCGATCCGTATAGAGACGCATCTGGTAGGCGTAAAATACTGTTTTTTTTGGCAGTGCCATGAGTCAAAGTAAACTCAAAAAATTATTCCTTCTTCAATTTACTAAGTTATCTTGCGCGTCCGAATGATACACCCGAGTATTGATCGAGTTGACATGACAGATTTTGAATAGAACGGTTAAAAACACCAAAATGAACTAAATAAAATACCAGTATGTCAACGGGAGGCATGTGCTTTCACCAGAAAGATCTTTAAACAATCATTGTGAAATTTCCTATTAACGTTTCTCTCTAAGACGAATTGTGACGACTCACATTTGTTAGTTTTTCGATTTTTTCTTTGTCAATTCTCCCAATGATATATTCTCTCTCAACGTATATATACAGAAAAATCACACGGAAAATTATTACCCTTCATCTAATACACGGGAAGAACAGTATCCAGCAAAGAATACCAAAAGCGACATGCGGACTGAAACAATTTTGGATTGCACATCACGTTTTGCGACGATATTTCTTGTAGTTGCGTGTTTAACTCAAACTACCAAAGCTTTGCCATTAAAAGAGTGAGTATATATATTTTTTTACGATTGCAAATTGGACAAAACTAATGTAGTGTAGTATTATATAAGAATTTTTTTATTGAATGAGTGAAACTAATTTTACTAGAATTTTATTTTACATATGCTGATATCAAGTTTAAAACTTTCTAATTTTAAAACTTGGCCACTCCTACAATAAAATATGAATTCTTTTTGTTTAGCACTGACAATGATTCTCTTTTACGCATTATCAACTTTTGGAGGAATAGAGAAATCCGAGAAGCTTCAATGTACGATGTCAAAGCCAACGAACCAGAATCTATTTTCCGAGAAGGTAAATTGATTTTTCTTTCCCAGCGTAAAATAAGATTGTTCAAGATTTCCATGGAATACTAAATACCGCATTCTATGGTAAAAGTCAAATATATTTACTTTCTTGTATATAACTTAATTTTAAAATCTAAAGTATGAAAAGAAGTTAGGTATAGTCAGAAATGTTGAATTTAACAATCAAAACAATTAAAAAAAGCATTATTTCTAAAATCACTAGCTAAGGAAAGACATATTCATGAAAGTAATACAGAGATTTACATTTTTCAATAATCGTTTTTAGAAGAGGATGATACACAGTTGGAACACCTTGAGCGTCTTCGGCGATATGCGGACGGAACACATATGAGCCTATTATCTCATTATCAAGACGCAAAGGCAGCAGGGAACCTGAGGAAAATCTTAAGAGGGTATGTCGAGTTTTCTCTATCTTTCCAATTCATCTAAAGGAATGACAACCTAATCTACTTCAAATATCATAAGAATCAGATGGTCGATTTCCAAATAAATTGTGTAAATAAAGCGCATAGTAGTAATATTCTGGAAAGTCACCGTATTCATGGCTTATGTATGGCAAATATGTTATTATATCGTTCACTATTATTAAATATACACACACTTTCTCTTTTTAGGTCCTCGCCTAAAACACACGATACTGTTTGCTTGGGAGATCTGATACCATACGTCGAGTCCCTTAAAGAACTGCAATTTGCATTGGAAAGCTGCGCATACTGATCTTTCGAAAACAAATGTGATATCCTTATGCACCTAAATCTTGCAAAACTTTTCCCCAGTTTTTATTTTCTATATTTGTGTTTTTTGCTCCATTTGCCGGTATGTGTTGCAATATATTTACTGTAAACGTTAAGTGTGATTCATTGATCATCGCAAATACTGCCTTTTTGCCGACGCAAAAACTCCTTTGTGTTATGTTTCGTATCAGTTAGTATTTATTTATTATTTTTGCTATTATTACTACTACGCCAAATAAAATTTAGAAAATGTCCTTGAATGTCATATTCGTTGGAAGAATATTTTCGGGAAGACACACGTCAAATTACTGAAATGCAATCGCTAAGACAATCACATATAGGGAGTATACCGGGTCACCATAGTGAAAAATGTGGTTATTTTAGTTCATATAGAAAAGTAGTAAAAAGTGACAATAACGGGCCTGAAAAATATGAATGATGGATCTGCGATTTTCCATAGTGGCGACGGATAACGTTCCATATCTTTTCGCAGGATTCTTGTAACTATTCGATGTGGCGTGCTCTGGGAATATAGTTAGTGAGAGTGAATTTGACAATTAATGTTGCCCAGAAACGTTTTGGCATTATATTAGTCATTGATAGTTAAGTGGTCACTGAGTTAATATATAATATCGTTGTACGTCTTAGTCATGGTGATATCGCAGATCATCAGCTTCGGTTATGTCGATATTCTATTAGTATTATTAATTTAATTCAGTGTGTAAATATAGACATTTATTCCATTGAGGATATTGTTGTCCTGTTATGATATTGGTCAAGACATCATGCTGATTTATTTTCACCAAACGGCGTTTATATGTTGTTCCGTATCAGTACGACCAAATTTCGTGACTGTACTGTGTACACTGAATCTTGTAAATAGGCGGGAACGCACAGTTAGCAATTTGAAAGGATATATCTTTAGGGGTATATACTGATCGTCATTTGAATACCGTCTTTCGTATGCCTCCTGTAGGCTAAGGTATGGACAGCTTGCATCGGTTCGAAACTAGATATGCGAACGATCGAGGAGGGTCAGCTGTTCGATACTTGTTACCATCGATAACAAGTGAATATAACGATGCTACTGCTAAGTCCACGTAAGATATTAGTTACGGCCCACGGGTACGTGCTATTTCGCAATGAAATATTTATTCGTACACAAAAAACAGTTTTCTAAATTTGCAAAATATATGGACCATGAATTTAACCATTTATGAATGCAGAATTTTAAAATCCGACTTACAAGTTTCACGAAAAATGATGTCACGAAACACCCATCGAATTTGGTCACTCAGTTTTGTTACCAGGAATCGTTTCGAAGCGCACGGGTGGATTAAGGTTAAGTTGATATTTCCGATTATTGCGACGTTGCCATCGCAAATAGGGTCTCGAACTCTAAATTACACAAGTCGCCATTTATGTATCAAGCTATCTAATATAATTGTATCTTTATCCTGTATAGAGATCTTCTCAGAATATGGTAATATGGTCATGTTCTTCTGTGTCGATACGTAGAAATTTGCGCGATTGGTTAGGTTAAAACTCATAGAACAGGGTGATCCAAATCCAGGCCCGCGGGCCACATTTGGCCCGACACTTCATTATCTGTGGCCCGCGTTACCTTTTCGAGAGGGTGACAAAAAAACGCATTTGGTGTTGTTCCGTCATCAAAATACCCAGAAAAATCTTTCGAAATATTGTTACATAACTAATGTCACTGAATTGACTAATGTTATGGCTAGCTGAGGCAACTAGCGAAGTTGAATAATGTGCTTGGCTAGTCTAAATTGTTAACTGGCTTTCTATCTTTTTGGTCGGGAATATATGCTAACAAAATAGGCTTTATAGAAAACTAAAAATCGAATGAGGAATCTATTAGCCTAAGTTGGCTATGCCTGATAAATAAATATTAATATTGTGACCGAATATATAATGCCTGCCGGATGGTCTTTTGCAACCAGTCTAAACAGTATTACAAAAAATGCTGCCTATATGTCAAACAATTTAGTAATTACCAATTACACTTCTGTATCTAAAATTCTAAAACGGCATTTTCTCTTTATGGCACTTTTTCCGTTTTGAAGAGTTTGAAAGCGCACACTACATGTAGGATATATATAGTAAGATTTTTGCACGTTTAATTGAGTTTTTTTGGTGGTTCTCCCATGTTTTAGCTTGGTAAAAGACAAATAATGATAATGTGTTTGAACAATGAAAGTGTTTGTTTTGTATCACAATGTTTGCCTATTCTTGGCACTATTGTGGCCAGCAAAAAATGCAAAAATAATTTTGTGGCCCGCGAGGCCGACAACATTGGACCACCCTGTCATGGAAGGATAATTGGTAGTATAAAATAAATGACCGTAATAAGTGGATTTAACAAATATCACGTGAGTTTGATCTCATCCCCACGCGCTCTGGTCGTGGACTCCGGACTTGGGGAGAATCAGCGTGTGGTGCAAGCTCACAGACGTCATAAAAAGATCATTTAGATAAATTGCCATCAATGGGGTTATCGGCTGAGTGAATATTGACAACTGGGTCAATGGTGAAAGGTTCATTATGAACATGGCTTCAAATGGATAATATCATTTATAATGAAGATGAATGCTAACAATATATTAAATGTCCTAATAAATGTCATCGATATTTTGTGGTAACAGGGGTGTGTTCATACATTATTGGGTAAGTAAATGCAAAACAAAAATGAATTTGATTCGATATTACGAAATACGAATTAGTGAGAATTCTAATCTATAACATGGAAAAAACTTTGATTTCTTGCACAATGCGGTCAGAAATAGGGATGGACATACGAAACCGGATATGTGAACGGTCGAGGCGGTTCAGTTGTGCGGCAATTGCTTCTATCAATACTTGGTGAACTTGGTGGGTTCTGTTAAGCGTGGACGTCCAGGTAAGTTGCCGATTTACTAACAAATGGACTATTCAAAACAAGGAAATCGCCCTCTTTGGTGGGGAATTTGAACTTTTTTCGTGTCATATGACAGCGGAATTCTAAAATCGAGTTACACGTCCACCGACGACGAATGGTGTCACGAAACTGTCAGCAAACCCGATCATTCGGTTTTATTGCCAGAAATGGTTTCAAAGCACGCGGATGGACGCAACGTGAGTTGACATTTTCGATTATTATGACTTTGCCAATACGAATAAAAGATCGAATACTAAACTACATTGCAACTATACAACTACAACTCGTCATTAATGTACCAAGCAATCTATCACATTCTTGGATAAAGCCATGTCCATTATATGACAATATGATCATGTTCTTCTGTAGTATTATGCGGAAATTTCATCGATTTATCAAAAATAAAGCAGTTGTTGGAGAAATGTTCCACGAGGATTTTTTGGAGCATGAAGTATAATAAAATAAGTCGACGTATATAACACATGATTCTGATACCACCCGCGTGCCCTGCTCGTGGCTTGTGGGAGATGGACGTGTGGATCAAGCTCAACGGCGCCGTGAACAGACGATTCAACAGATAAATTGCTGTGAAGTGATGGCGTATTTATCGGCTGAGAAGTAACGATTGCGTGAAAGGTAAATGGCCATGATAAACACGAATTGCGTTAAACGAGAATCAAAGGAAGAAACGGTTTCTCGGTCAAATGTTAAAAATCACCAAAATATTTACTGTAGGAGTCAATAATTTACCTTCAAACACTTTCTTCCATTTCCAGATGCCATTTGACATTACACTTAGAACCGAAATGTCATTTGGGAACACGTGATTTCTGTAAAAAGATGGATGGAAGACCAAGTGAGGCAAATTTATTTTTTCAAATGTTTTCGCTACGTAAGCACATTATTGGCAGCCGGTATTCGGAAATGTATATCGATAATTTACGAACTATTTCACAACCACAGATTTTGCAACAGTGTGGTTTAGCGCGCGTATATTGGTTACGCAACGCCCTGTATGAAAATGGAATCGAACTCATTTCACCGGTCAATTGTGGGCTGATTATCGTAGGACTGTTTTGCGCAATATAAAACAAACAAGCATCAAATTGTACATTTGAATATGAAATTCAAAAACGCGTGATGCTTAAAACAATCGGTTCTATATAACAAATTTAATATCCCATCTTGTATAACAAAGATGAAAAGTTACCCAATGTTATGCAAACTACAAAGCGCCCTTTTAACCTTTTTTTCAGATTTGAATCAAATGAGAACAAAAATGGAAAAAATATTTGACTCAAGAGCAGTGTTTTTCAACCTTTTTCAGTGTCAGAGCCAAATTTCAAACCTTAAAGTTATAAGGAGCGCACATAAAAAAAACGCAAAATTAAAATGACAATAAAACAAAACTCAGGTACGGTATGTATTTTAAAATAACAACATCAACAAAAGAAAATATCTGAACTTTGCACAGTGTAAGGGGTAGCCTGCTTGTGACTACTGGAAACAATGAAATCAGTGTACCAAAACGTAGGCTAAACATTGGGGGGAAACACCATGACATCATGATTAAAAGTTGCATTCAAAACGACCTAAAAGCTACGATGACATCAATTCAACTAATGCACTTCCCTTTTATCAAATTCGAGTCATTGATTAATTTTAATTTTCGAAGGATAATGAAAGCCGCAGAAGAAGTAATTATAAGGCGCATGCAGCTTTAAGAGCCGCGGTTGAGAATTACTGCTCAAGAGTATATTTGAGTAGGCGAAAAAAGAAACGCTGATTCAATGTTGAGTAAATCGAAAGTATTAATGGACACAAGTTTTCAAAAATTTGGAATACGTCAAAGTCGAATCACACACAGCTATATAATAGATAACCACTACATATATCAGGAGATGTGATACTCAAAGTTGTTTGTGTCATGTCATGATGATAAGAAGACCCTTCAAGCAAAATGCCGGAAACAGAACGTATACGCTTTTATTAACAAAGCAAAAGTTCATCTAGTCGGAATATGTAGATTCAAAAATCTAGTACAAGAGTCGAATAGTTCGCATTCATGATCATACCAACCTACGGAATTGGTGGTGACGCCCAGCACGCACTAACTTTGAAATATTGCCTCATCAGACTGGTGACGTGAATAAATTACAACATTTCGAGAGAGAGAGAGGGGTCGACGCGCAATACGACGGCATAATATGTCATAACAGTCGCTGTAAAGTGACGTGGGCGTTGCTCACCTCCTACCAAATTCCAGCACCTTAAATGGAGGCGGATATCATGGAGGTGTGAGATAGACAAGGCAAGAACAATATAAGAAAAAGTTTACTTCATAAGATAAGACACAAAGAAACGTTATTAAAAACGTTTTGACAACCAGGGGGTCACAAAAGTATTGTCAGAAGCAGTTCCCCAGGAGAATCGTGTCTTGTTTCTATAAAAATCATGAATCCAATGGGGGTGTTATATGAATATATAATGAACAGGTGCTCGAAGTTTGATGTTGAAATATTTTCTTCGCGTTGGCAAAAACAAACTTTACAAACTGCGTACGTGAATCTAAAATTAGGTGCTCGCTTTTTATCTTCAACGCCCTTTCTAAATTGCGAGCGTAATTTGCTATTTACACAATAAATTTCATTCAATGTTTGAATCAGTGCATCAAGTCATCAACATTTCACGATATCATTAGAATGTTTATATCGTAATCTTACTCCATGGCATTTTTCCCGCGTCGTCCACAAACTATTGACCAGTTGATCCTGTGGGTGTAAGTGACGTGCATGTGTTACACCTGAGATATGATTTGCAAAAGGACATTTTTGAGATCTAAAACCGATTTTTGAAGCAACAAATCACAGAAAAAAACATGTTAAATATCTGCTTAACCATTCCGAATATTTGCTAATCGGGGATAATATCTTAGACCGCGGGGTAGCGCTAGCCAGAATAAACATCTCAATTCTCAACTGTCACAATAAAAAATCGCGTAAACACGGTTCCGTTAAAATTGTTGTTTTTGAGATAAAAAGAATTTCAGCCCTCAACTACTGAACCAATCCAACTTGAAAAAATTACCAGTAGTTGAAGGTGGACATCGGTATGATATTTTTAAGAAAAATCGCTGATTTAAATAAAAATTGGACTTTTTGCCAATCGATTTCAGCAATCGGTTGCGCAACAGGAGGGCATGTATATAGTTGCACCGGTATAACATTCGCGTTCATGTATTCGGGTATCGCTTGCTCACTTTTAATAGATCGTATTGGGATATAATGATACTCAACAAATAATCACTATCCATAACAGTAAAATCGTCAACGGAGTCAATATAGAAAAGGCTGTATACGTAGAACTCATTCTGAGAAGCCATAATAATAAAAAACTTCAACATTTTAATATCGCAAATGACGAGATATCATGTGTTATCAAAAACTATTCTATAAACGCAATGTATTCGAACACTGAATTTCCAAATGGCATTATTTTCATGTGATTCGGATCGTCACCGAGCCAATCTAATCCAAATTTACTTGAGAAACAATAATATTTGTATAATAAGTTACGTATGGATTATATTTTGAAGTGTAAAATAAACAAATATAATTGGGTTCTTGGGTAAATAATTTTTGGAAATTTTGCGAAAACCTTGCAAAGTTAAACATTGCATAAACTGTTACAAAATGAGTGAATTTCACTCTGATTTTACCATTATTGTATCGTGTCATTTGAAGACAAAATGGAATTGCTATTAATTAATCTTGTAAAGAGAATATAAGAACAAGCCCTGGAAACAAATATCGATTACTTTACGAAACAATTTGTTAGATGGACGGTATGGTTGCAACTACGAATAAAGACTAGAAAATTTACTGATATGAGACAACTCATTTAATATGACAGTATTTCGGTAAGGGTGGTCACGTGGGCGGTTCTGGGAACTAGCACCGTTATACTGCTAAAATGAGGGGGCGTAAATGTTTTCATGTGACCTATTTCAAAAACACGCTGCTTCGGATGAGCAAAATTGTTGTTTGAAACAATATTCCAGATATGCACGTGATAAACAAACTAATATCACTAATGGAAAAGCGATTTTTATTTGATTTCATAAAATTTGTAGAGAATATTAAATTCATATCTTAAAAGCAACTGATGCAAAACCTTAACTTTCGATCATAACTAAGGTTTTAAGTATTGGGTAAAAACGTGCCAGTCTAAAGGACGATCGCCAATTACTGACACGTTTGTGCGTCTTGACCGACCATCAACGTGTAAATAATGACTGCAATATATACTATGATAGTGATCGTGTGATTTCTAAAAATAATGGGAGATAAATCACAAAATGAGAGCCCACGCCTTCACATATATTAAAAATCCTCAACAGGATAAGATAATGATCTTTGTAATATCATTTGTGATTGACGTGAATCTAAATTTAATAAAAAAAAGATTCAAACGTTCGATTCGTTCCTTGGCTCATGTTGACAAAATACCACCAAAACCTTCTGAAATTTTTCCATTGATAAATATCGCATAGACAGGTCAAATGGTATCATGTCGTTCTTTTGAAAAAAAAAAGGTTGAAACAGTTTTGCTACAAGCCGACATGTCGCAGAAGTTTCCAGCAATGAAGTCGTCACACTACGAGTCAGTAAAAAAGTTATAACAATATTGATATTTGGCGAGAGAAACACTTAATGGGTTTTGCCTAGGTAAGCTATTGGCAGTTGGTTCCGCTGTTAAACATAAAGCCATAATTGGTCGACTTATAGCACGCCTGCCACACGCCTTTAAGTTTAGTAAAACATAGGTAGTCTATCTGTAATTATTACCGATGTTTATATTATGCCTACTCCATTCATTTCACATAAAGTATCTCGCAACACAAGGTTTTCGAAGACGGGCAATGACAGTAAATTGATCTAACCGGTTCTGGCCTTGAATTGTCGGAGATTGAGATTGTTCAACTTTCGACAACTCTTATCTATAGATCACTAGCGGAAAATTCTAAACAATTACGAGGGATTAAAATTATATCCAGGATATGAGGTCACATATCAGTCATAATTTTAGTGGTCTTAGTGATTTATTTTCTGAACCAAAATCATATATCCAAATAGGTAAAGATTGTAAGATTTTATACCAACAAAGTTGACTCATCCAGATATAATATGATGCCTTGCGTGAAACAAATCATCAGAATGAAAGGAAAACTTTGAATAAGGTACTTAAATTGAATAAACATTCGAAATGAATGTTGTTGAAACTCATTACAGGCTATAATCGATGATTCACATTAACTGGTTTCACTTCCGACACGATATAATGACAATATACTAATGAGCCCGTGTAATTTGCCAAATTTCATCCACCTTATTTAATAAAATAATTATCGATATATCAAAGCTGATTTTTTCCGATTCGACAGTTAAACTTCGATGTAGTTACAAAATATACTTAAGTGTGTATATCGACAAACTTCACAGTTCTTCAACCATTGTTGGCGATGAAGCTAGACAAAAAAAAACGCAATGTTGTGGGCCGCACAAACACTTTAAGAACTGCGTTCTATCTGATGTATAACAACTTTTCTCTATACGAGACTATATAAACAAGCATGGAGGCGTATATGGTGTCGGCTACAATCATTCGTAAGACCGACATGGATGGAATATGTTTTCGTTTGTTAAATTGAAGCTATCTATACATGGTGTATGGAGAAAAGTTAATTATGAATCGAAAACTTTACGATGCAAAGCATACTAGTTATGGATGCCGACTTTCAGAGCATTTCCATTAATTTTCAAATACGGCTTTATATAACCGTTAATTTCAACATAATACGTCAAACTAGTGCTAAATTTATCTGCTAATTACTATTGATATCCATTCATAAATAGATATCGATATTAGTACAAACGGATGGGTGTCGTAGACTGGAAGGGGCCATATGTTTGATCAGCACATGTAAACAGATAACAAAGCCTTTTAATATCAAGATATTTATTATGCTATTAACTAGTTATGAATGGAACGTGCTTTCAGTTCGCCAATATTAACGCTCAACGACACGTGGTATGTTGCAATCGCGCTTATTGCGTCACTACGTATTAACGTTTACTACAAAATACAATGACAACAATAGAAAACGGGTACGGGAACTGCTTTGTACCTTGTGGTAGTCCGCTATGACGAAAGATAATTCGGAAATATTTTGCAATGTGGGATATTTCCCAACAATGTCCTCGGGTGTCGCCATTATCAAACAGAAGTAAACCAACCAGCCGCATGGAAGTGTCAATCATAAAGCCATGGTATATAGAAATAAATCAATTAATAATATTCATCGGTTTGGAATCTCTTTCATCTACGACCGTTTGAATATTTCAAACTGAGGTGGTCCACGCTTTATTCTTTGTTGAACATCTGGCTCAATCATTTTATAACGGTAAATTGAAAAGGAAGAATTAAGAGTATGTAAACGAAAGATGTGCCAAGATTTCGCAACTTTTGGATTTTGCGATTAGTCACTGATATAAAGGCAGATAAAAAGGCGTTTTCTTAGCAAGTGTCACTGAACTCCACGCACCATTATATGAGTATATAAACTTCATAACAAAATGAATGAGGAAAAATTCGAGATCTAGATGATGAAAATTCGTTCTAATTTCATAAATTGCTATCCTCACTAAACTATACATGTCAGCTGCGCGGATGTGAGTCGTAAAAGTGCCACACACAAAAGTACAGAGAACAACACGTAAGAAATATAAATCTATGGAAAGTTGCAATTCGGTAGCCAAATAATAATTTCACGTTTATTTGAAGCATAAACATTAATAGGCCAAATAAATTCTTTAAGAGTTTGTATTATTTACGGAACGACAAAGGCGGCCGATTTTTATGACTGATTATAGGGGTCAACGAACGCCGTGCCTAACTTCTGTCTGAGCCAATATTTTTCAACACAAGATAATTTCCTAACCCCGGAGGAGCTCTACAACTGATAAAGGGAAACATATTCTTCACAAGGCGGGATAGTATAAAAATTATGTTGATGATAAGCAAAGTTTATGAAAAAATTAAAACCTAGAACTAATATCACATTGGTTTGAAAGTGAAAAAATCCATATTTGAAATAAATATGTGCTATGTTTCGCATCGTCCCGTCAACTACCAGAGCAATTGAAGGGCATCACACGGCGGGACCATGCTCTATTATTCCAACGCTTGGTGGCGAAAGGTCAAATAACATATTAATTGAAATTTCAAAATCCATGCGAAAAGATCGCAATACAGTATCAATGGAACACGAAACAAAATATCAATTGGTCCTATATTGGTACCGCTCGTCGTACTAGCTTCAGGATGTTAAATGATAACGGAGCCTTTTTCTTCATCTCCAAACGGAAACTAATGCGGAAAACATGAGAAGAAGTTTAGATAATATATATACAGCACGAACGAGTGACGCTTGTCAAAACCATACGAAACACGATTGCTGAAACAGTATCAATCGGAGCGAGAAACGGTCAATTATTGGACCAAACTTTACATATCCTACAAACTGTATCATAACGTACAAAAGAAGATGCGAGTTATCGAAGTCTTGACAATGACAATTGGATGCGTCTTACTGTTAAGGATGAGCGAATCTGAAGCATCGCCTTTAAAAAGGTGAGCATCGGTCCTACAATATTTCTATTTTTAAAAAGATATATTTTCAGTTCAACCAAACTCGCCCTACCCAATAGTACTCGGAGCTTTAGCGATTACCGAGAGATTAGTGATTAGTGTACAGGCCAAATTTTGATTGTATCGCTGGTACCAGATTTCGGCATATGAGCCCTGGTCCGATGATAACTAAGATTGTGATAACAACTTACACAGTGTTTTGTAATTTGGGTTGGCTTACTCGAAGCGCCTCATAAGAATAACATATTTTATTTATAAACAAATCGGATTGCGCATAATCAGATATAAGCAGTGTTGAAATGAGTTGGTCACAAAACTTTTCAATTACCATTTTGTCAAAATGCCGAGTGAAAAAAAGTGAAATCTGTATGAAGAATTGCGGATGAAGGTTCGTCCATGGGCGTGTTGGAGGTGTGTTGCTACCACTTTATGTCACAAACTGGGTTCCAAAGTCCGTAATTTGAGTAACACGAAGTGTTCTATTTTTATTCCGTAGTAGAATATTATGTACACAACCCCGTGTAATCCCCCATTGTTTTTAGAGGGCACGTTGCCGGACACGACGCCAAAAAACCATCACACATGGTGAGAGAACAGGCGATATTGAAAGCCCTTCATCACCTTGTTCGCCAAGAATCGAACCCCACCGTGAGACATGAAATATCACACTTCCTCGCAAGGATGAGAAAACTCCGATCTCGAAGACATGTAGATGGTTTATTCAGCGCAATTTCGGGAAAAGCTTACGATGAAGAATATACAAGAGTTTTCATCCGATCCTTGTAAGCCTGAATTTATGTGTATATTTTCACTTAAAATGGTCTAGAACAAAATACCTATTAAAAGCACCAACACGAGTGATTCGACTAAATAATGTAATTTTAACAGGAAACAAAGATACTTTGAGCGACAGAGAGAATGCTACAACGCAATTTTGGTATTTGCCGATCAACCAGAATTGTTCAAAGCAGCTCTTGAACAATGCGGTTGAGTACTATGGATTTCAATTGGTAAATGGCTGACAGTATATTTATTGAATGAATAAAAGGAGAAACCTTATTGAGACGTGCTCTGAATGAACTGGAGGTGTAAGCGGTGCCATTTCGCTGATGAAAAGGTGACTTTCGTTCGTCGACATCGAGTTACAATAAACGAAGCTGCACGAGATTATATACCCCAGAAGACATGTCTTAAATTGACACGGCGACATTTCATCGTTACAATCATTTATCATTACTTTTGCTTCAATATTTTCATATTTCACACAATACTATTTGCCGTAATGTATATTTTGCCTAGTTCTCGCCTATTCAAAAATGTATAATTTATTGCTATTTATTTCGATATATATGTCTACTATAATTTACTGTTATTATTATTCTTTTACAACAAATGCAATTTTTAACTTTAAATTTTTGATCTATAAATCCTTACATCAAGATTTGGTTAATATTACTTAATTAAAGCAGATTTTACGGCAGGTTGTCTTATCGCTTCCGACCGCCTTCCGAAGTATAAATAAATATACACGCAAGGTGCAATAAGACGATCCAATAATGAATTAAAATATCCGCAGACACGTTGGAAGGTTAAAAAGCGCAAAATAAATAAGCGTTTACATCTTTCTGATATCAAATACTTTTTGTACCAAAAATTCCGAATGTGATCTTAGTCGAAATAACGATTTTTGTGGGTGAAATTCTAGGTCTGCAGAATGCAGAATTTAGAATTTATGGTTCCTCCACTCGGGAGAATAAATGCTTCAATTTCGCTTTAACTTCAACCTTTGCTGTATTTATGTTGGTTCGGCGCATTAGTGAAAACTCTATTTTTAATTGACTACATCTTCTCGCGATTTCTTCCGATCATCATGAATAGATAATCCAATTACGCATGTTTGTCGTTTAAAAATGTACCATATGTAAATTCGTGGTTATTGAAACTATTGTCGGCAACACACGTTGACGAAGGCAACACAAATAACAACAATAAGATCATAATGGGTATGAATTTTGGAAAAAGGCCATTTTACTAACTAGAGACAGAAGTACCATAAAATGTATAGTGTATTTCTTCAAGGAGTAATATGAATAATGATTTTTCAACGAAAGTGTAAAATACCAGGAATTTACTCAATTGCAAACGAACGAAAAAAGTATCTTTATGATATGCGATAATACTAGAAGTAGACAACACATTTTGATTATATCTTGTTTTGGATAGCCATTTGATAAATAAATAAACAAAAGTGTAACAAAATAAAACGTGAAAGTCGGATTTAATAATCCATTAGGGTTTTTTAACATAAATATTTTGATTTGATTGATATCAGTTAGCTACAAAGAACTACATCAAACACTATGAATAGCGAGACAACAACAAAGGTTCTGAATACAACATACGGGTGGTCAAAGGGGGAGAAAAGCAATTTCAAGCGCTTTAATTTGTGAGATGCCAAAAATAGTCAATTGAGTAACAAAAGACTTTAACACTTGCTTTATATGAGAAATGCCAAAGTAAAACACATTTTCTTACAAAGGCTTTCTTTGGTAAGTGGTCACGCGCGACTATTTGATGTGATGAGGTAAGCCTTCCAAAAGCCGTAAAATGCGTGTGAGTTGACCTGATTTTAGTTCTCAAATAAAGATTCATTACTTTATTGGTCTATAATATATAATGCCGATCAAAAATAGCTTTTTCCATTTCACATGAAAATGATCACTAAATAACATGCTAATTATTTCACATCAATAAATCATTTAAACTGTTCAGAAAGAATGTTTTACTATTAACGAACATTGTATCCATACTTGTTCAATGTATAATGATCGTTTTTCCACTCGGTTATGTAAGTTTGAGGAATAGGTCAAAAACGTGCAACCCCAAAAAGTCCTGCCGAGCCTCTTTTACGGGTAGGCCTTTCCTCTAGTCTAGTTCAAACACGAGAGGAGCAGAGCCAATTAAAACTTTTTGAGTTGATCTAAATAGACACGCACAACGGTAGTATTGGAATTTCATGAATTGTGCACTGAAACTCAATAAGTATTGTAGACTAGTCATTTTATATATTTGATACAGTCAGTACAGGAAATTTTTTAAAACTGGGAAATTTGTAAGAAAACATCATTGCTGCGGATTCAACATGCGATTTAACAAGATCATCAAATTTGTGAATTAAATTAATAATATTATGCAAAATCTTTTGGACAACGACGAGACAAAATAATAAATAAACTGTTAATTACTTGTTTCAAACAAATCATGTTTGAAAATTATTTCTTGATCTACGTTGCTTGGTTTAATGTGGAGGTGCTTTAATATAAGAACCGGTGAACATATGAGAGCATTTTGCAAAAAAAAAAACATACATCATGCGAGAAGAAATTTACGCGAATTTACTTTTGCAAAATTGTATTGTTGTAAAAAGAACATTCGCGCGAATATTGCTGAAATGGTATTTGCACAGTTCTCACCCTGAACACACTTCTGTAGTGACGTACATTTTTTTAAAAATTATGGATTTGTGAGAATGGACTTTTGTTCATTCTCGCCGAACTATATTCGCACACGAAATCTTTCTTGAAAAAGTGGCGACACAACAAATTCATCCTAATTTTGCAAATTAGTTGATTTATATACGGTGCATAGAGGGTTTATTGAAACCATCTGACATACGGCTCCAGAATTTGTACATACCCAATAACGTATAGGAAACACATATATATCCAATTGATTTTAATAAGTTTATTCTGCATACGTAGTCATTCGGACAGAAACGGACTTTGTTTTGATGAAGATGGTTGTTTCCAAAGGTCACTTGGTATAGCCAAAATAAATACGGTAAATGCAATGCATTGTTGCAAATACGGTTGTTGACAAAACGAGCACTGTTTTCCATTCGTCGAAAACAGTAGAATACAATATCTGGAGGCGAATAATATATGAAATTACGGGTTGAACTACCCCCGCGTAGTTGTTTTGCGGACACGAAGAACTGCGCAATTCGAATATAATACATTATGCAAATTCAAGATTGGCATCCTCCAAGTGATAAAATGTTGATGATAAAACTAGTCAATGGTTGGAAAAAATCAGCTGCAAAACTAATGGACTTGAAGTAAATTGACAAATGTAATACACGCGTGTTAATAGTAGCATATTTGTGTAATACCGACCATATTCTAAAGTTGGGATCGTGGTCGCTATGTTTTAATTGACTGTAAGGCATACGATTTCAAGGCAAGTACGTTAATATTAAATTACCAAGATGACGTGTCATTAAAAAAATCTTACAATGTTAACGCAAAGTGATCACAAATTTAATGTAAAATTTCAGAACGTTGCTGCCATGTTCTACGGCAACGATCGGGACACACTTGCAGTTGATTTTATCCATTTTTGAGAAGATTTGCTCAAAGCAAGGTCACGAGAACTTGCTCAGAATTAGAGAGAATGATTATAAGCGAAGCTATGGTGACCACTGAGATGCCAAGAGAATTATAGCGTGGGAATGCTCGTTGGTAAATACCAATTGACGTGGGGCTTGTAAATACATTTACATTCGAATTCACATTTTGCAAACAGTATTTATTCAGTGAAATTACTAGATACTAAATATTTATGAGTTCTGCTACCAGTCCCATAATAATTCCTCTTTGAAATATGTACTAATTCGAATCTAATTATAGGAGCGTTATGCAGTTTGGAATAGTGTCAAAAAGTAGATATTGTCGGCAGGTGGAATAGAGTCCGCAATTGGATGGTTGGCCCAAAGGTAATGTTACTTAAGTTCACCAGATCATGAGAATCATACCACAGTCTGCATGTGGGAAATTCATGACTCTTTCGCGACGCTGTGCCACAAGTAAAAAGGTGGCAGCCATTTATATTTCCTAATAAGAAAAGGCGATCGGGTAATCGGCCATTTAGTTTTTTGTCTTTATTTAATTAAAGGAAAAAATATTCAACCAACAATACTACTATCGCAACTTACACATTTTTCTTATTGTTTGCTCTAATAATCAACTCGTGTTTTCACTACACATGGAGTCGGTTTTATGGAAAGTACATATTTCGTTTCAATCTCTGATGATAAGTCACAATTTCTGAATGCCATCAACGACATATGAAGAGGGCTACTACAAAAATTATCGAGAACTTATTACTTTATTGCATTGTTAGTACAGAATTAAATGCTGTTACCCTTTAGAGAACAACTTACACTTACGTGCACAATTCAAAATGGCGTCAAGACGTAAATCGTCGGGTATCTATAGCAAATTGACGTAAATATTCACCTGTAGGTCGGAGCACCGTGTTTGGTGCACTTAAATTCCTAAGTTTAACGATCGCAGTATAAATTTTTGACGACAGGTAGTGAATATTTGGGAAAGTTATGCGAGCTCATATCATTACTTGAACAAATTAGAGCACAGAATGTGAGTGTACCTGGACACCAACATTTTTATTTTATTTCAGAACCTCAATATAGCCCACTGAGAATTTCTAATATGTATAACAAAAGTTGCTGTTGCCGCTTATCATCTTTCCTAAAAGTTTCTTGCCACCAGTGAATCTGTAATTCGCTAGATACTATGGGTCAGTAGATGTAATCTATAGTATAAGTGGGAATAACGAGTTGTACATACTTTCCGGTAGAGTGATGTACGACAGGCGTTGTCGATTAAGACCAATAAAATACCTCGAATTTGCCCGCCCAGAACCATCCCACGTTTTAATTTATCTTCATTTAATTCAAAGGCGCCTCTTAGCGACAAGTGCTCAACAAATTGGAAATCCAAAATATGCCAATAGCACATCACCAGTGACCTCCAGTGATGAATTTAAATGAGTGTTGTTTGAAACTTTAATTTGCTTTGATGGAGTTTGTTGGAGTCGGATGCGAAGTCGAATTCTCCCCAAAGTTGGAGATGGAAAGAAAATTTGGAACTAAGATGATGAAGAATATACGCAGAAACTAAAACCGGCGGAACGTCGAAGCAAAGAAAATAGTAGTCAGGGGTTGCTCGGGTTCGGGTCCAATTTTCAAAACTTGTAGTAGGGGCCTGGAACAAAAAGATGTCGAGGGTCGCATAGATCTGTCAGAAATGTTTCCATCATTATTGGATGCAAAGGGATCATATTGCTAAATTTTTGTTGATGAAGACGATGAATTTAATGTTGTCGTGGTCGCCATGACAAAGGAAATTTTTGGATCTTACTACTGAAAATTTTTAAAAACAAATGTTTCGATAATTGGCGGCAAAAATATATTTCATATGTTTATTCTATAAAGCTGCTGTCACATCCATGATTTTTAATTTTTCTTTGGATATCGTAAGGCCTGTTTTGTTATCACTGACTTGCGCCAACAGGCTAACTTTTCGCTGATCGACATAACAAGCTGGTACTCAAAAACAACGCAGTAATGGTAAAGATACC